CGCGGAGCCTGCGCCGTGGCGCGCCGCGGTTTGGGCCGCTGAGGGGACCGCGGGCCGCGCGGGCAGCTGGGGACGGGGTGGTGGTGGGGTGAGGTGGGTGGGTGAGAGCGGTCCCGTCGAGCGACGTCACGACACCTTCCCCTGCAGGCATTGGAGGGGCTCCCAGGGTCCCCTTTAGAATTCTGAAAGGGGTTGGGGGAAAGGGATGAAAATGAGACTCTTGGTACAAAAGGCGGGGGCGGGGGGGGGTACCTTTCAAGGAGCCAGGATTACTTGGGGTCAGCTTTTGGCCACTAGCAACAAAAACCAACAGAACAACAAATGACCTTCTTGGGTCATAAAGGACAAAATAGAGTTTCGGTGATTTCCTCATTTGTCTAGAATCCTGGCATCTAACTTAATCTCGGAATCTCACCTTCAATTTCGAAAAGCCTGACCTTTCTAAGCAAGCTTACATTGGTCAAAATTAAGACAATATATAGTCATGCAGGTGGTACTATTTTTAACATGTTACATAATTAGCATTTGTTCAGAACTTAACAGTTTCAAAACATCTTTGACATTTCATTTGGCTCTCACCACGTTTCTGGGCACGTTTTGTGACGTCCCATTTCACAGATAAACCGAAATTCAGTGATATTAAGAGATTTACTTAGGGTTACAAAACTTGAATTTACCAGAGGCTCAAAGTCAATAATTTTTACATCTCCAATCCAGATATGGACTCTGGCTTCTGATAGCAACAAGTTTTCATCATCCATATTGTTTAAGACGTAGTCCTTTATTTGGATGTATAGCCCTCGGATAAAACAGACAAAGCTTTCCAACTACCTCTTGCATGCGTGCCCAATTGCTTCTTGATAAATAAAGCTTTGTCTCAGATGAGTATTTCTTGGCATTGTCTTGTGGATCTACCGTGTATCTACTAATAACTTTTCCATCCATAGTATATGGGGGAGAGGAACATTCCTACCTATAATTATGTTCCATAAGCTTCTAAAGATAGTCTACTGCCTAAAAGTAAGGATCATTAATATATGATCATTATTTACATAACAAAGAGATTATTACTTAGAGAATTGTATTATGTGAAGCCTCCCAATTGGATGAGGAAATGACTTTGGATTTTACAAGTTTATAAATAATAATTATAATATAATATAAGTTTTATAAGATATAACTTTTGGCAAATAGGTCATAAAGGAAAGACAAAGGAATTCATTTTCATGAAACCTGGGGAGCTGAGACATTGGAAAAACCCTTAAGCTAAGTTTTCAAGTAATCAAGGAATTATTAAGAGTTTGGTGTAATAGGATGTTCAGACTCCTGTAATAAAAATAGACTTATCTTTTATTTACAAAATATAATGTATACCTTTGGTATAACTATACTAAAAATGCTACAGGTGGCTGGTTACCCTTCCCTAGTATTGTCTCTATGTCACCTATAGATGATATATTAGAGAATTAGGTTATTCATAAGAAAAGCATGTCCAACAGTTTGGATGGGTTTGTGAGTTTTTTGGTTTTGGGGTTATTTTGTCCAAAGGTTAGAAAATACGAGGGAGGACCCCCCAAAACCTTGAATTATCTTTTGGAGGGTGGGTTCCTTGTAGTACAGGGTTCCCAGATGTTCTAGGAACCCATTAGCATTGGTGTACCAACTCTTATTATTGATTGTTGTGAAAGCCTGAGTTCAGGTTCAGTGAAGTTTGTTTTTTTTTTTTGAGATTCCTTCAATGCGTGTGCCCATTTCATGATGGGTGATTTACGAGAGCACCTACCCATACTGCACTTAGTGTTTAGAAGATTTTAACTGAAAATAACATGACCCCCGTGCCCTACTCTCCCTATTTATCCTACTTGCCCCAAGCAACTTTTTTTGTTTGTTTTCCCAGATGAAAAAAGTCCTCAAATGGAAACATTTTGCTGATGTGGAAGAGGTGAAACAAAAAAACGACAGAAGCACTAAGAGTCATCAAAATTGACAAGCTCAAAAACTGTTTTGAGGAGTGGAAAAAGCATCTCTATAGATGTATTGCATCAAACGGAGAACATTTTGAAGGTGACTGAAGTTTAAATATGTAAGGATAAATACAAAATTTTTTAATAAATAAATTCTGGGTTTGGGGGGGTTTCCTCTCAAATAGTTGATGATCTAAAATTACCTCTTCTAGGCTTATAAAGTGATCACATTCCGAATTCTGAATATTTATTTTATGAGACGACTGGCTTACCTAAATAGCTGTTTTATATTACATTGTGAAAAGGAAAGCTTCTAAATAATCTGTATTCCCCCATTCTGTCAAGTGTTGATCTACTTTTTTCTCTATTCTTTGTACTATATTTACTTTCTTAGTAATTTCATCCAGTTACATGGTTTTAGATACCATGCTGATGACTCCCAAATTTACTTCTCCAGACTAGACGTCTCTCCAGAACTCTGGACTTGTATGTCCAAATACCTTGTCAACATCTCAACATCAGCATATTTAATAAACACATCAAACTCAACATGTCCAAATCTGAACTATTATTCTCCCTAAAAATCTGTCCCATGTCCAGTTGCCTTTTCAGTTGATGGCAACTTCATTCTTCTGGTTGCTCAGGTCAAAAACCATGATGTTATCGTTGATTCCTCTCTTTTTCTCACACCTCACATCCAAATCCACAAGGAAGTTCTGTGTGCTCTCAAATTATACCCAGAATTCAGCTCCTTCTTACTACTGTTCACTGCAACCAGCCTGGACCTAGTGACCATCATTGCCACAATGGATTACTGCATTACCGTCCTAGCTACTCACCCTGCCTCTACCATTGCCCTCCTCCATTCTGAGTGTTCTCAACACAGCAGCCACGGTGATCCCTTTAAAACATGTCCTTTGATATTTTATGTCACTCCGCAGCTCAAAAACCAGCAATTAGTCCCTATTTCACTCAGATTATAAACCAAAATGCTTACAATGGTCTACAGGCCTCAACTGTTATGCAGCCCCTCCCACTTTTCTCACTCTTGGATCCCCTCTTCCATCCCCCCGATCTTGCTACTTCTCCAACATGGCAATGCAGGGCCTGGTTCCACCTTTTTGTCCCCCAGACAGCCGTGTATCAGATTTCCTCACATCTTCAACTTTATTTTTCAGGTGTCACCCTTCCACAGAGATTTATCAAATGTTATTTAATCCCTTTTTACCTGCTTTATCTTTTCATAATACTTATTGCTTTCTAATATACTGTACAATATACTTGTTATATGTTTGTTGTCTCTCTTTGCTAAAATAGAAGTTCAATATAAGCAGAGATTTTTGTTATTTTTGTCCACTGATGTTTCCGAAGCACCTGCAATTGTATTGAATTAATGAATAAGCCATGGCCTAGTTACTTAACTTCTTCAAATGTTGTATTTCTTTATCAGCAAGATGAAAGTGATAATACGTAATTTGCAGGCATGTCCTAAGAACTGAGCAGGTTAGTTATGTTAAATATCTGTGACAAAGAAGAGTAGTTACAAACAATGAACCACTCCCATTTTTATTTGTTTCCATTTGCTTAATGGAATAATAGGCTTTTGAGTAATGGGACCCTTTTTCACATTTCTTTCTGCTTGTTTGTCCTTTCTTTACACCTATGCTGGAAACATTTGGTAGGCCTACATCAGATCACTCAATAGGAACTCCATTTCCTGTGCATCCATCTTCACCTGGCCTATAATAAATTAATTTAGTCATGCAACCTAAATGCAGCCCTAAGCATCTTGTGTGATATTAAGAAATCAAACATTGGAAGCAGAGAGATTATTCTCACCAAGTCATTTGTTCAAATGGCATAAGGACTTATCACTCTTGCCACGGCCTATATTTAAGGCTATTGCCTTAAGACATGTCATGGATATATAAATTATTTATTTTCTATTTTATTTCTATGTGAGTCATAATTATTCTCTAATGATAGCCTGTAATGTTATAGTCATTTCATGAGATTTTTTCATTTAAACTTCAATCCATTTGCCACTGTAATGATCATTTTAAAGAAAAGCATGCCCAGTTGTTCTAGATGTGATTTTCCCCAAATCATCCTCTTTACAAATTTCTCAAAATAGATAGCGGGAGTATAAGTATAAATAAAGAGAAGATTACAGCAAGAGATGATGAGAATCGTGGGTCAGTTATTCAGCATCTGTTAAGCACTATTCATGCTTTTTAAAAGAAGACAGAGTTTACATTAGGAGATGTTGATGCACAGCCAGTCTTATTAGAATAATAAAAATTATATTTGATAACCCAAGATCACCTCCATATGTTTTCCTGATGCAGCATATTATCCTTAAAATATTCGCCAATCTCCTGTTTCTTAACTAACTTTTAAACAATAACAACCATACTTTCTTGATTATTTATTACATTTTACTATTTATATTACACTTTTAAAGCTTCAAAATTTCTTTGCAAGTTATTATCATACCCTATTTTTTAAATAGGAATCCAGAGGCTCAGAAAAGGAAATGAACTTATTCAGGATTAAGTGGAAGGGAGGGAGATAAGATTATTTCATCTTTCATGTCCTATTACAACATTAAGACTGTGGCCCCAGTTGCACATGGGTGAGTGAAAGCAGCTTAGTTTTGAGACATAGATGTACTTGTACAGAATTCTGGCTTCAGATTAGAAAATTTAAGTCAAAGGGGGCTGTGCTAATGATTGATTCAGGCTTACTTTCAACATCAGACTGGCCTTAAAAATTGACTAATATGCTAGTCATTTTTCACTTAACTTTTTTCAGTTGAGCATAAAAATAATAGCAGCATAAATAATA